TAATTTTCAAAACATTTTTCAATGCAATAAACATAATTGAAAGTTAAATTAAAACACGGAATTTTGAAAATATATATAATAGAAAGAAAACTATATAAAGTCAATTGCTATTATATTGCACAATAAAATTATTCTACACATTTTTTTGTCCAACAAAAAAAGAGAAAACACTAGTTATGATATTTCCAAATTTAATAGTTGAGCTTAATGATCATGTTCCAAGCCAACGAGTCATTTGGAAAATTGACAAAGATAATATTTTCCACAACGAAGTTACAACAAACCTATCATACTCATACAACATTATTACTACATACAGAAGAGTTATCAATTTTAGAAGATCAAGTCTTTAATTATGATTAAGGAAGTTTGATTAAATTTGTTTTTGTATGTTTAAGATATTGTGTAAAATCTTTCTGATTATAAATAAGGATGTAATACAAAATATTAAGGTTTGAATATTACTTTTTAATATATTATATATGGATTGGAACATTCCAAATGCTTCACTTAATTCAAATTTGTTGAGGATAAAAAAAAGTGGTAGAAACAAGATTATTTTTTCTATTTGACATAGGTTGTTTTTTCTCTCTCTCTTTTATGATGTCACGTACGATTAGATATGATGGATGAATTTTGAAATACGAATCTAAATACCATGTTAAGGTTTCATAATTACTCCTAATAAGATTTAATTAAAAAAATTGTCCTGATATACTTAATTTCTGTTATATGATATTAAAAATAAAATCATTTATTATAATCCGATAATAAGTGACATATTATGAAAATAATTGTATTTTGGGTCCAGTAAATTAAGAACAAACTTAAAAGTGTGAATAACTCTTCGAACAGGAAAACTTAAGATTACATGTTTAGATTAAATTAACTTGCAAGAGAATACAACTTTTTCTTTAAAAAACAAATATATATATATATATATATATATATATATATATATGACATGAAAGATGTTTTTCTTCAATTAATATGTTTTTTCATAATTAAAAGAATGTTTTTCCAACTATATAGCAGTTTAGTTTTAATAACATGAATGTCGCCTGCCAGGTTTACGTTTTGGTTAACTTTTAATATACAAAAGAACATTTATAATAATAGATAATTTGAATACAATTTTTAAACACATTGAATGGTTACATCTCGCCCAGTCAGTATTGTTTTAAATTGATTTTAATCAAACATAACTCTAAATCAAATGAGCATTCAAAATGCTCTTATAATAGAATAATTGAGTGAATAATGTGTGTTGAAAGCCTCTATGTTCATAGAGTTTTTAGGTCATTTCTAAATCAAGGGATTCAACTTATTGAAGTTGATTTCATTTTTGGCTAAAATACTTTCATCTTGGGTGGTAATAAGACCCATTGAGAACACATTGTACCACTTTTTTTAAATAATAGTTATTTATAACAAAAAATATGTATGCATTAAATTTAACCTAAATTGGTAAATCATGATGATAAACTTGCACTTTTAGTTGAAAAAACAGCAAATTAACTTATAAAAATGTAAATTACTTGACAAAAATGAAAGTGGGGAAACATGATATTGTATTATGATAGATAGTGGACACTCATCCTTCCATAAAAAAGATCGATGATGGGAGTGAGCCATTAGCATTTTCTTTGAATGTGGTCACATTCATAGCCACAAATTCAACCTAAACCGACAAGGAAACATAAAATTAGGTGTTTATTTTTAGCTTCCACTTGTTCCTACCTAATTGAAATTTCTCCATTATTCAATCCAAGTTCTCCCAACAAATACTAAGAGAGTCTATTCGGCTTATAGCTGCGCAATATATTGGTGCGTACTGCATTTCTAGAACAAAGAATGTTATAAAATTAAGATGGAGATATAATTAATAAATGGAATTTGGGACACTAACACCAATAAATGCAAATCAAACAAATGTTAGGTAATACCATGTTTCTGTCTCATCAATATAAGATAATTTTCGTATATTCTTACCAGTGCATGTTTCAACATTTCGGTTGTGTTACAATGATGGTGGCCTAATCTATATTCCTTTTGGACAAGATAAAAAAATAGAAGGAATTGGAGCAAAATATAAGTATTTGCTTAAGTTAAAGGGTAGGGATATTACTTCCTTCACATTCATACTCTTCTTCAATAGTTTCATAAAAATGATTTGATTTTGTATTTTTTGTATTGTTCAATTCTGACTTTTGAATTATACAATTTGAAATTTGTGATTCATTCCATTTCATGATGTATTTCAAAACATTATTGTTTTTCTTCAAAGTATCTCTTAACTTAATTGCATGGTTTTGAGACGACGAAGCAGTGTAGCTTAGAAAAATCAGACTTTGAATATAAGGTTATCAAAGAGAGAAATAGATAGACCATGGAAGGAGATGAGGGGAGTTAGAGAAGAGAGAGTGACATTTATAATCTAGAACTTTAGGATTATGCAATTCAAAAAGTTTTTTTAGATTGCATAATCTTGGTGTTATTTTTTACTTTTCGATTACACAATCCAAAATGGAGAAAGTAGAAAATTTCATATTTATGAGATACAAAGGAAAAGTACGAAGGATTAGAAAGAAATTCCCAAGGATAATAACCACTCTGCGAGTAAAAAACTATCAAAAGGAAAATCTCCATGTAACATGGACTAAAAAAATTACATATCATGGTATTTTGTGTTCGAGGGTTAAAGAAAAAAACTTAGGATCAGGGATCCCAAAAGAATCCGCGTTCGTGGATATCTGTGGATAAAATCCGCGATGGATAGTTGATACTAGTGGATATTTACTATCTCCGGATTGCAGGTAGCGAGTTTTTTGATATTTGCTTATAAACGGGTCGGGTGCGAGTATTATACTATCCGTACCCGCGAATATCCACTACTCGCAAAACATAAAAATAAAAATTTAATTTATCTTTTATTGAGTTAAATTTAATTAAAATTAACATTAATTTATATTTTATAAGATTAAATATAATTAAAATTAAATTTTAATTTATATTTAATTTAATATATATTATATTATATATATTTTTTGTAATTTTATTTAAGTTTTATTATAATATTTTATAAAAACATATTTTTTTAAATATTTACGGATATCCACATATATTCGCGGGTTTAAAAATACCCGTGGACATTTTTAAGCGAATATCCATACAGGTAGCGGATGATTTTTTTTTTGTCGAGTCAGATTGCGGGTAGGCACTATCCGTGTCCGACCTGACCCGTTGCCATCTTATTTAGGATGCATGGAATTGAAAAGGAGAATGATTGATGTAGTGAGAAGAGGGGATAAACTATTGGAATAAACCAAGAATTGTTGATCTTGGACCAACAAATTGAATATGTAATTAAGTGAAGTTTTATTGCATGTGATCAAAGAGTAACACACAATTTTGTTTTGATAACTTTCATTTCAAAAAATATATTTTTGTTCCAACTGCAGAAATGAAAATAATTAAACTAAGATAAATTAAACTATCAATTAAATATAGTGCATGATTGATAAATTCTTTCATACTTGATGGTTAAAACATCAATAATAAAATACTGAAATTGAAGTTTTAAACTAATCTTAAATCTAAAAAATAAAATTTATTTACAAGAATGTATATATTCTCAATGTTAAAAATGATTTTTTTTATATCATTGAATTGATTTGAACTAGATAGAGAAATTAAATATTGATAAGCATAATTAATAAAAAAATATATATTATAGTTAAATCAAAATTAAAAATTCGTTATGAGAAAACAGATAACAATTAATTTCTTTTATGTTCTTAATAGGAATTAGTATACAAAAGATTCATAAGATAAAAAATTCTATATTATCAAACAAATTTTTCGATATTAAGTGAAATAAGATAAAGTCACAATTTTTTCTTTTTCTTCTATAAGAATGGAACATAATAAATAAAAAATTAGAATAAAAATAATGAACTTGTATTTAATTTCTTTATTTTTTATATGAAAAAAAATAACTCCAAAAAGAAAACATAAAAAAGTATCTTAATTAGATCTTTTTATTTTTTCAATATTTAATTTTATATTTTGTCATTTATTAATATTGAATAGTTTTGTAAAATAAAAAAACTTAATTTAATTCTCATAAATTTTCATTATATATACTCAAAATTTTACAAGTTTATATTCATCACATTCCCCCAACCCCATAATATTTCGCTCTTGCCCTATAAAATAGTATCTAAACAAACGTGATTAATTATTTGTTGTTTTTAAGAGTGATTGTTGTTTAACGATTTTATTTTGTAGTGTTTTACAAATTATTTGAATGATATTTATTATTTGAAAGTATATCTTTTTAAATTTATTGAAATATATATATTTATATAGTAAATATTTAGAAAATAATATTTTAAAAATTATAATGATTTAGAAATAATAAAAACTGATTATTTAATATTAAGTTTTTAATATAAATAATTTTGTTGTAAACAACTTTCATAAAACAATATTCATATGAAAATAATGTATTTTAAAATAATAAAACTAATTTATAATAAAATATTTATATTAAAAATTTTAAATATAAAAATAATTAAGTTTATTATTTTTCAATATATAATCACTTAGACATTTTCATTTTCTAAGTTTTTACATTTATTTTTATATAATTTAGTTAAAATTACAACTCATTTTCATAACATGGAAAGGGTTAAAAGGACCATATGTAATTGAAAAAAAGAACATATGTGCTTTTAACAAACCAACATTACATGGTATCCTCGTTTAATTTGTTGTCGGATAAATACTAAATAATGCATAAAATTATAGTTAAAATATCTGTCATTTATTTAGTCGTTATGTTATATTGTATATACTAAATATTATATAAAATTAAAATTTATTATACCGTTATTATTATTGTATTTTGTTTTTATGTGTTTGACATCTTGAAAGTTGTATCCTAAGAGGAAAATCTCGTGAAAAAAGAAATTTTCCTGTTTCAATAACTAATAATCAATCTTATTAAAAGCACTTCCAAAGAAATTCGAATTGCATCCCCTTCATCTTGGAGACGCGCTTCTGACAGAGGCTGAAACCCCTCTGTAAAACAATGGCTTCCTCCAACACTCCCAAATCCCATAAATCTCCCAAAGCCAAGAAAGGAGAAATCTCCACCACCCAAATTAAAGCGAAGGAGAAAATTCGAGACATCACCAAAGAGGAGAACCAAAAGAAGAAGAATAAGAAGCCCAAGCTCAGCAATGGCAATTCCAAACACCCACACGAAAAGGGCGCAGAAGGAAGCGGCGAAGATGGGAAAGCCAACGTGTTTCCCATGAATCGTATCAGGACCATGATCAAGGGCGAAGATCCTGATATGCGTGTTTCGCAGGAAGCGGTGTTAGCCATCAACAAAGCTGTGGTGATTTTCTATTTCTTTTTTCCTGTTTATGTTTGCTTGTTTGGCATCTTTTTCATCGGTTTTGTTTTTCTTGTAGGAGAAGTTTCTTGAGCAATTCACGCAGGACGCTTATGCTTGTTGTGTCCAGGACCGCAAGAAATGTTTGAGTTACAAGCACGTTGGTAAGGTTTTATGACTGAGATATGTGAGTTCAATGAAGTTTGAAATGGCGTTCTGTAGTATTGTGCGTTTTGGTCAATGGATTTCCCAATTTCAACTGCACTTTGAATGTAAATCCTACTGTCACATAGGTTCACCTTCTTCGGAAGCAAATGTGAAGGCTAACACAGCCTGTATAACTGTTTATATTAGGAGAATACACTTGTTGGGGAGTCCTAAACTTAGATATGAGCTCAGTATAGCCAACTGAGCCTCTACTGTCCATTCAACTTCTTTGACTGTTGCCTCCTTTTTTAGGGTTGGATTGCATGGTTTCTTCCTCGCGTGTGAGGAGGCCGTGGAAGAATATAGAATATTGCTGTAATGGCCCGCTGTCTGTTTAAGCCCTAAAGCCGCAATGTGATAGAGTGAGACTGTTATAATGGTTGGTTGGTCTAAATTTGGTCAGTCTATAAGTGAGTAGACCCATATTAGATGTTACTCCTCGGCTAGAGGTTCTCTGCTTCTTGGTTAGATAGTCCGTAGCCTTTCGAGGGTTGAGTCTAAAAGGAGAAAGTGGCAGGTATTCTCCGATGGATGATCCGGTAACATTTTCTAGCTGATTGCTTTTCTAACATTGACGATGATGTTGATGTTTTGAGAATTGAAGGATTAATTCTTTATATTTATTGAAAAATTGCTGGCCTTTTTAGTTTTAGGCTTATACTTGTAGTTTGACCTTTTTTAAAATGTACTTTGAAGATGAATGGCTCGAGTAGAATTCCTGATCATTCTGTTGGTTACACTTTTGAGGTGAGGGTGGTAAGTTTTTGAAAGGGTTTAGTCATGAGGTATGGAGTATCATACTGATTTCGATCTGATTCAGTGAATCTCTCAGTCTAGACTCTAGTAGTATTCCACATCAAATTCATAATAGTAAATATTGGGTTCTTTCCATGTAGTGTGAATTAAAGAACACTTACATCTGTGCTACTAAATTCACCCTAAGCTTAATGAATGTACCAATTCACAATTTATTTTGCCTGTAGTATGTGTTGAAGATCTCACATTGACTAGAGATAAGGTGATTTCATAGTGTATAAGTGGGTGCAAGCCTCGTCTTATAAGTTGATTTTGTGAGGTTGAGTTAAACTTAAAGTTTGCTTCTCAACATGGTATCAAAGTCACGATTTAGAGTCTATCTTAGTGAAATTTGTTGTTTGTTTGGCCTATTATGCTATAAGGGAGATTTGTTTATTGGATAACCATTACCCGCTCTGCTGCAACATTTTCTGCTCTTTGCAGGTGCACTATCTGAGCATTTTACTCTCTGGCCGTAGCTGCACCTGTTGAGCACTTTTTCTTTATGAGAGGTGTCTCACTCTCCAAGCAGTTTTTGCTCTTTAGCAGCTGTCAGGCCCTTTAAGCATTTTTGCTCTTTGGTAATTGTTGCACTCCTTTAATTACTTAAGGCAGGGACCCATTACTAGAAGTATGACTAGAAGAATCCAAGAAGAGCTTGAAGATATGGACACAACAGGGCACGTTCTTTTTATTCATTTTAAGTGGAATTTGGAGACACCAAGAGAAGGGGTAAAACTGTCCATATGATGGTCAAAAGATGCTAGCTGCACCACCACTCTTGGATAAGCACACCACCGTCCCTCAACACCACCAGATCACGTGCTGCTGTAGTTTTTAGCACATTTTTAATAAGTATCTCTAGAAAACTTTCACATTTTACACATGGGCCACCACATGGCAGCTGATCCACCATTCTCGGATCATGATTTCCTTACTGCAGCTCCATAGATAGTCTATAAAATCATGGAAGCTATCTTTGTAGAAACACTTTTGATGATTAATGAGTTTTGATTCTGCTGATGCATTTTCCAGCAACCGAGACTCTACCAAAAGTCACCATAGATTGAGCTTTCTTTCCTCCACCTATCTTCCTTCCAGTGAAGGCCGTCTGAGTTAGTTTACTCACTCACCTAGAGCTCTTCCTCCATCTCTGCATCCACTGAATTCATTCTTCCGCTGCTGCCAAACCACAATTGATATCACCTGCTGCATCCAATTCATTCCGCTGCCAGTGCGCCAACTTCGACACTGCTCACGATCCATTTCATCATTCCACTGCCTTCAACCCACACCTCTTCTGGAGCAACTCATCATTTAAGCATCTTTTTCTTCTTGACAATTGCCACGTCCTCTAAACATATTTGGTTTCTAGCAACTGCTGTGCTCTTCGAGCATACTTTTCTCTCTAGTAGTCGCTTCCCCTTTTAGAATTTTTTCTTTTCGGCAGCGTTAAACCTTTTGTCCATTTTTGCTAGGTGACATTCGTTGCTCTCTCCTGCATTCTTTTTTCTCTCTAACAGCCATGCACCCTTCAAGCATTTTATGCTCTTCTGCAACAGCCATTCTGTTCTTTGAAATCTAATGCTACCTTGCGATCCAAGCTGTGCTTCTTTGACAATGACTATGTTGTTCCAGTCATGGCCAAATGCCACGAGCTCCTCAACATGCCATCTTCATTGTCATTATTGACTTTGTTAGCTCTAACAACCAATTGGCTAACATGTTCAATAAGTCTCTCAAGGAGTCCGATGTTGATGACATTTGTGATAAGCTTGACTCATGATACACATGTTCTAGTTTGAGGGGTAGTCTTAAAGATATGATTTGGTTACATTAAATAAAGGAAATATAATATGGTTTCATCACATCAAATAGGGAAATATCTTAGCAAATATTTCTCACTATTAATTATTGATTTTATTCCTTATTACTGTATCTCTTATTTATTATAAATAAGAATACTTGTGTATGCATACAACACATAATTATTAGCAATCCTTTCAACATGGTATGAGAGTCTGTCCTATATCAATTGTAAGAGTCACTCACCATTTCATTCATGTACCAAGTTCAATATTGTTGAACTTGAGAGGGTGTGCTGAAAAAAAATCCAATTCTCACATTGACTAGATAGTGCCAAAATAGAATATATATATAAATAGGGATGATTCTCATTTTACAAGTCAATTTTGTAGTATTGCGATAGGTTCTAACCACTTTGTAAGAGTAATATTTAGTATGAAGGTGTAACCTAGGTGTATTGTGTATGTTTTATGACCATTCGAATTGTTCCTTCATCCTTGTGTTTGATAGGCTCATTGAGTCTATTAAATATTTATTTTCCAATCACTGATCTGTCACCCACTTATCCTTTCAGCAAATGTTGTTAGTAAGAAGAGGAGATACGACTTTCTTTCCGGTAATTTCGTATCCCTGTTGCAATGCTATTATATTCTTAACTTTACCTTTCCCTGTTTTCACCTTACCTACCCTACAAGCTTTTTACGTTGCTTTTACTTCAGATTTTGTTCCTGAGAAAGTGAAAGCTGAGGATGCATTAAGAGAGAGAGATGCAGCAGGCAATGGAGTATTTCAGAAAATCTAAAGCGAGCTAATGGAGAATCTAAAGTATAGTACATTATAGAATCATGTCACATTTTGTAACGACATGCTTTAGGATCAGTATTACTGTTTTATAATTTTCGATATTTTATTTATTTTCGCACTTCTCTTTCTTAATAGTTTTATTCTCGTAGTTGTATTACTGTATATGGTTTTTCAGTGACCAGGCATGCTTAATGCTTGAGTCTGTTTTGGTAGCATGCTGCAAATTTGCCCGTGGAAAGCTGTGGAACACAAATGATTTTTACCACTGGATGGAATCAATGTTTAAGCTATGTTTGGATGATTTTGTGTCGAGTTGGAGAAGAAAGTAGAGGAAAATGTAAAGGAAGGTTGGTGATCGGATGGAGGGAGAGTATTTCCCTCCTGTTCTAGGATACTTGAGGAAAGAAAGGAAGCAAACCTTTTTCCCTTTCTTGAGATTTAAAGTTAAACCATTTATCCCCCCTTGTTTAATTTTAAAAATCTTTTACTTACCCTTTTACCTGGTCTATCCCACTAAATTATAACATTTGAATGTTTGGATTAGAACGCCTGAAACACTTCTGTATCTTCCATATCTTGTTAATCCTTGCTTCAGTTTAATAATCCTCTACAATTTGTTTCGAATCCTCAATTTCAAGCATTGGAAGCTCATTTCCCTTTCAATATTAAAAGACAAAAATACGTTTAATTTTTCTCTTGTTTTTTGACTTGATGTATACTTAAAAAAAAAATTGTATTATCACATGGTACATTCTTAAGGACAAACAAAATGCTAGAAAAACTTTTACTAAACCCGTTTTATCTAATGAAGTCGGACTCCCCGTGAATACTCTTTACATGCTATCTAGAATATTGGATCAAATCTAGCCTAGCAATCAAAGCTACGTTGATGTTCGAACCAAACCCGAAAGAGAGATATGCATACTAGGTTCTAGATCATGAGATTGTTAAATGTCTCTTTTGGATTTCTAGAATGCCGAAAAATATTAACTTGAAGTGGACCTCTCAACATACACGCCGTGAGATACTCAAATGTCCGTGAATGAATTACAGTGGGATTCTGCGGAACATACGATTAGAGAAATTATTCTCGAATCTAGTAGCGACAAGTAATTTGAAACTTCTCGGTCTTATGTGCTCTACAATATATGCTTTTGAATGTCAAGTTTGCCAAAATTTCCCATCTGATCGACATATGATGTATCAGGTAAAAAAAATTCCAAGAGTGACTCAATGTAAAGGATGAAAAAACATCCAGCAACTTGTGGTAAGACCCTTTTTTGTCTTGTCTAACATATGATGATATGTTAAAGCGTCGTTCTTCCCCATCAAAGACATTTAAAAAGACAATTAGTATAATCAACAAATTAAGGAGTCCCGGCGGCATTGAACACCGACCAAGTTGCACAAACCATGCATCGTAAGGTCAGATGCTAACATCATCAAATTGTCTTGCAAAAGTTAATTGCAGACTCGTTCCTTAAGTTAGCCGCTAGCACTTGATTGTTTTGCTACTTCACTAGAATTACAAGTGAATGCTACGCTATCATGTTCATCTTTTTTTTTTCCTACTTAGATCTCACTATTCTTTTCCTGCCTTCCCAAGCAAAATCCAACTGGCTAACACAGTATTGCATTTCCATGACAAACCACCTTTCATTGATGTGTAAGCATGCAGATCTGCTACAACTACTGAACTTTCTACAGAAACACTCCACCTAACCAAGAAAACAAAGCCCTTTCACTCTTTTAATGTTTCCATATATTACCCTCCCTCCATCATCCCCACATCGAAAACTCTCACTTCAAGGATCACTCTTTCTTTCTCACCACCATCCTCACCTTCAGTCAACAAAAGATGGCGATGATGAAGCACCAATACTACTCTTTTCTCACCCTCCCACTTCTTCCAATACTACTCTTTTCTCATCCCACCATCTCTCTAGCCCAGTCACCCGCCGCCGCACCAACCGCCCCCGCCAAGGCCACCACGGCCATCACTCCGGCCCCGGTACCCTCCTCACCCCCCACAGACATCATCAGAATCCTCAAAAAGGCCGGGGGTTTCACCACCCTTATCCGTCTCCTTCAAGCTACGCAAGTTTCCAACCAAATAAACTCCCAACTCCTTACCACAAACGGCGGCTTAACCTTATTTGCACCAAACGACAATGCCTTTTCAAGCCTCAAACCTGGCTTCCTCAACTCCCTCAACGACCAACAAAAGAACGAGCTCATCCAGTTCCACTTGCTCCCCACATTCGTTTCCGTTTCAAACTTTGACACTCTCAGCAACCCTGTGAGAACACAGGCCGGTGAAAACCCTGATAGGTTGGCACTGAACATAACAAGCTCAGGAGGGAACCAAGTGAACATGACCACGGGGATCGTCAACGTTACATTAGGTGGGACTGTGTACACCGATCACCAGCTTGCGGTTTACCAAGTGGACAAGGTGCTTCTTCCTCGGGATTTCTTTGTTGCTAAGCCTCCTGCTCCAGCTCCAGCGCCAGAAAAGCCTAAGGGGTCTAAGAAGAAATCTGCAGACAGCACTGGAACTCCTGCTGATGATGCTGAATCTGCTGCTATCAGTGTGAAACAGCAGCATGTGATATGGGTTGCTGTTGCTGCACTTTCTGTTGCAGCAGTTTCGTGGTGACAATGAGAGGTTGAAGTTGAAGAATATAAGTATTGAAGTGAAAGTATACCATCTAGGGTGGATTCAAAGATGAACGATCAACATTTTGCAGATACATTGGTTTTAAATAATTGGCCTTTTTTTTTCTGTTCTTTTTCATTCGCTAATGGTTCAAGTTTCAGGTTGTGGTGGAAATTATATTTGATTTATAAAGGTTATCTTCTGTATTACTTATGAGAATTTAAAATTTGTGTATAAGTTGCATACAATGATCATAGAGAAATGATACACAGAAGTTCTTTTAAGTTGTTAAACTTGACATTATGCAATCTGTTTAGAGTATACAAAACATTCTCTAGTACACTTCTCATATTATGTATCAAAATTGATTAATGTTTGGGCTGGATTGAATGATCAGTTCAAATAATCTTTACTTCTCAATATTTTTCTAGTTGTTTGTGCTCTTGAGCAGATGGACTATTAAAAATACTTTAATGTCTAAATTAGTATAATATTCTAACGGTTTAACTAATGTCATATTTTTTATTTATATTTATAAATTTTTCTATTTGATTAGGATTAATTTAATTACGATTCAATTTTATTATTTATCTATTTAAGTTAATTAAATGATTAGTTAAATCTGATCACCTATCGATTCTCGACTCAATTATCGGTTTTCAATAATTTGGTCAGTATATATACCTATCAATGTATATAGAGTACAATTAAAATTATACATTTTTTAAGGTTTAAGATATATAAACATCTTTCACCTACCAAATTTTTATACAATTTTTTTTTAGATTCATTACTTTACTCTTTAAACTTTTTTCTTTATAAATACAAAATTAAACTTTTTTTTTAACGATCAAAATAATTCTGAAACCTCTAAAATATTAATTCCTTAAATTTATTGTTATCTCAGTATACTAAATTAATTGTCATATTTTTTAGTTATAAATTAAATATAGCTTATACTAAGGACTAAGAAACACTGTTACAAAAGTCAAAAAGTAATTTTTTATACATATTAGAATAAGAAAAATAATAATATTATTTATATAAATTTAAAATATACCTAAGTCAATTATTTTATATTAGTTTTAAATTGGGTAAGAATAAGAAAATGAGACGAATAACGGTTATTTTTTTATATTATAAGATAATTTAAGATTTATACAATTATTACTTTTTAAAATTAAAATATATTATTATTCTTATTTCAGAGATAAAACTACTGCTTACTGTATAATAATTTGATATTATAATATGAAAATTATTTTAATATATATATATATATATATATATATATATATATCCCATATTTAAGAACATATAATTTACAAACATATTACAATTATCTCAAACATAATTATAATACGAAAAATATCCATATATAAAGATCCTATACAACATTTACATAGTCAAATTAACACATGCAATCACTGCAAACAATATATAAATATTCAACACAAACGAAATTTCAGCAAATCAAACATCATAATGTTACTCAATCATGCAAAACATAAATTATAAGACATTTATAATTTAGAAACAAATATAATTAACTTCTCTTACTTGAAAGACAAACCAACAACTTAAGAACCCCTATAACACCTTTAGAGGCACACAAAACTCTATATATTTCTATGAATAACACAAACATGATTAGAGTACATCATTATGATCAATGATTAGTAGAGTTTCTTAAAGAAAACTCACACACCACATGCGAACTAAGACAATTCACATACACAAAAAAATGTACCGACAAAGAAAAATGTCAAAAAAACTAACTTATTCTTTTTGTAGAAACTAATCGTTATATAGAAGTTTTTGAGAGCTCCTATCAAGTATCACCTTAGTGGTCTCCAATATTCTAAAGGTTTAAACCCTCCGTTGGTCCTCAAGTTTGTATGAAAATCTCAGTTGGGTCCTCAAGTTTTTTTCTGTCTCAATTGGGTCATATTTTTTGTAAAAATGAATACATTTTACCCTAACCGTTAAATTGTAACAAACGGCGTTAGTTGGTGCTGACGTGTTGCATAGTTACGTGGAATTTTTATTACGTGGAATTTTTATTTAATTTGAGAAATTATGACATGGCAACCTTTATGACGTGGTGATGTTTTGACTAGATCCAGATCTTCTCCTCTCTCCCCCTCTGCTTCCTCCCCCATTGGCAACACCGGACTCAACTTTATTCTTTATGGGCTGTTCTCTCTGATGCTGATGCAGTCCAACACTCACTCACGCCATTGCCTACTGTCACACTCCATATGTCTTTCCATCTTCAAAGTTTCACCCTTTCCTTTCCACTTTCAAAACTCCAGAGAATCTTCTCTCCATCACCTCATTCACAGGATTCATCATAATCGGAAAAGTGAAAAACAAATTGATACAAAGCCCTAACTGAACCAAAAAACTAATCACCCCAGGACCCAAATTGGTTGTGATAATACCCTTAGTTTCTTTCCCAAATGCAAAGTAACCTAAACCCCCAAACAAACCAAACAACACTGAAATCGATCCCATCCCCAAACCCAAAATCCTACCGATTCTTTTAATCTGCATAACATAATTTCTTTTAATCCTACCAAACAACACTGCAAAACAAGAGATGTCTACCAGATTCTTTTAATCTGCATAACATAATTTCT